CTAGCGGGGGCGGCGGGCGGTAGGATGAGTAGATCCTGGGCCTGGGGACTCACGGACACATAGACCGCAGCAAAGGCCGACAGCGTGGCATGCTGGGATGGGAAGGTCTTCCTGTAAGAGTCATCCATGTGAGCCCCGCTGTATCTGAAATCCCTCTGTGCCTCAGTTTCTCCCTACTGAATGGCACAGGAGCTGGGCCTGCTCACCTTGCAGACAGGATGGCATGGGTGTCCTGGCCAGAGCAGATATCCTGCGTGATGTAGGGGTTGGCCTCGCATGAGGTGCCCAGCAGTGTGTAATTGGGCTTGCAGACCGTCAGGAAGAAGGGTGCATGGTAGCCTGTGGCCAGCTGGATGACGTCTGTCACCAGGGCCGTGGCACACAGGCCGAACACATGGACTCCTGCAGGTGAAAGGGTCAGGGCCGGTGCCAGGGGGCCAGGACCCACCCACCCCGGGCTATAGATGGGGAGAGGGTTGGGGTGCTGTCCAGGGACTTACCCACAAAGCGCACAGTGCGCCGCAGGAAGGAGTTGAAGTTGCAGCCGCCAGCATTGATGCTGCCCTCGGCCCCACCTGGGCCACCTCCGCGGCCCCAGAGCCGAGACTGCAGACAGTACAGCATGCCCTCGCCCACCATGATCTGCCGACAGGGGGTGGCTCAGCTGGATCCTGGCCGGGGGTGCCCACAGGCTGGCCGAGACCCCTGGACTCTGGGACTCACCGAGGCTGCAGGGGCAGCGAAAGCCAAGCTGAGCAGCATGAGCAGTGGAATGAGCTCCTCGTTGGTCTCCACGTAGGGCATGGAGAGCGTGCGGTCGTAGCACTGGAAACCCACCTTGGCTGGCTTGAAGAGGTCAGTCAGCTCCAGGAAGTACAGGGACACGATGGAGGATGCCACAATGGGCAGCTGCAGGGAGAAGGCTATTCAGTCACACCCATTCACTGACTCATCCATCCATGAATTCAGTCCCATCCATTGATTCACCCACCAACCAATCCATTTATCCCTGCTGCAGTTCACCCATCATGCAGTGACCCACCCATCCATCTGTGTAGCAGCCACCGTCCATCCATTCATCATAGCCATTCTTGCACCCATGAATTCATTCATCAATCCTTGGATTTACCCATCCATCATTCATACATGCTTCCTTCCTTCCACCCATCCACCTACTCACCCACCCACCCATCATCCATCCTTTCATCCACCCATGCTTCCTTCCTTCCACCCATCACCCACCCACTTCATTCATCCATTTCTTCCCTCCGCCATCCTTGCCATCTTGGAAAACTCAGAAACAGCAAACAGTCCTGCCTCTCAGCTTTTTCTCTCAAGGATGGATGGATGCCCTTAGATATCCCTCTGGTGCCCCAGCCCTCCTCAGAGGAGCCCTCCCTGGCTACCCATCTCTCTATCCCTTGCACTGCTTTATGTCCTCTGGGCCCCCTACCCTATGTGCCAACCTGCCACTCAGCCCCGAGAACATGGCAGGTGCTGAATGAATGAACGAAGGAATCCATTGAGTCACTAATTCATGCAACTGTCCCCCACACATCCTGTCTTGTGCCCCGCACAAGCTGGGCACACTGCATGCTCATGCCACCCGTGAGGTACAGAAAGTAATGCGTTTGGGAAAGCTGAGCTGTTCTTGATCACATCGCAGGTGTGGTGCCTGCAGGAAGATCACTGAGGAAGATTACTCACTCATTTACGTGGGCCACAAACAGCCATTGGGCACAGATTCTAACAGAATCTTTTTAAAAATAAATATATTTTATTGATTTTTTACAGAGAGGAAGGGAGAGGGATAGAGAGTTAGAAACATGGATGAGAGAGAAACATCGAT